AATAAATCGAGGGAGTTCTTAGCGAATAATCTGTACATATGTTCTTCAGAAAAACACACGAATATTCGGGGTTTCCGCGAATAACATGTATATAGGTTCTAAAGAAATGTGTAACAAACATAAAATATAAAGTTTAAAACAATAGTTGGAATAATGTAAATAGCAAACCAAATTCCTGTACATGTTTTCAAGTTTAATAATCCACCAACATTTTCTATTGCGACTAAATTTGTAAAACTTCTCTATAAAAATAATCCATGTAAAATTATATTTGTTAATATGGAAAAGAATGAATATTTTCAGTAATATATGAATATTATTTGGAATGCATCTTTTGAGCCTGACAAAAGACGTGAATGACATTCTGACATACGGTGAAAAGGTGCATTGGACTAACAAAAAAGGGCTGAGAATCTTTGTGAATGATAAAAGCAGCAAGAATTGTCATATTATTGATGTTGCCATTCCAAATGGGATGGATTTCAGCGGGTAGTTCTTTTACTTTTGTCTCGTTTATTTATTTTTTTTATTTATAGAAATTTATTTATTGAATTCCAATACCATCTTATTCTATTGAACTTTTTCATTTATTGAAGTAGGCTCCAATTTATTTTATAATTAGTCACGAATTAAAAAACATTACTTTACATGCATTGAAGTTTACAAGTCCATCAACATTTTCTATTGCTAGCAAATTTGTAAAACTCCTCTATAAAAATAATCCTTGTAAATGTACGTGTGCTAATTTGGGAAATAATGAAGATTTTCAATAATGTCTGCATCTTATTTGGAAAGCATCTTTTGAGCCTGACAATTTTGGAAAGACTGGAACGACATTCCGACATATGGTGAAAAGAGTCCATTGAACTAAAAAAAAAAGGGCTGAGAAGCTTTGTGAATGATAAAGGCAGAAAGAATTGTCATATTTATGATGTAGCCATTCCAAATGGTACAAATATAGCAAACAACGTGGTTGAAAGAATTTCAAAATACTCGGAGTTGAAAGTAGAGACAGCAAGATTTTTTAAATGCATGAAGGAAATGTCAAGAATGATTCCAGTAGTGTACGGCGCACTGGGATCAATCCCATTAAAACTGTTTGCCTTCCATGACTGGCTGGACATACCAACTTGCAATCCTCCAGAAATCGTCTCTTTTGGACACTGCACATATTCTGAGGCAAGTGTTATCTGTCTGAAGTCCTCGTTTGGACTTGAAAGATAATTGAAGGTACCCGGTATATTGGAAAACCTATACTGTGTGATGACATAATAATAATAATAATAATAATAATAATAATAATAATAAAATCGTAATAGGCTTTAAAAAGTAAAAAAAATCTTTACCCCTTTATGAAGAAGAAGCCGATAAATATGGTCATTTACTTAGTTATGGCAAATGCCCGAATGTATTGTGTACCCAGTGAGGATTGAACTCACTACTTAATCGTAATTGATTTAACAAGACAAGATTGCCAACCATTACATGACGTCGGAGAGTCCGAAGAAGACCATAGATACGCAAAATGGCGTCAAGTCTTGAATATTGAGCGGAAGTAGAGGTTCAACCGCCATAAAATAAACAAGAAAACTTAAACGAGAAGCGAAAAAATGAGTTCAAAAGCAAATAGAATAAAAAATAAACGGCTTTATCTCTGTAATTATTTATTTTTATTTATTTATTTTTTTGTCAGTGGAAAGTGTCATGATGCCATTTCTAATCTTAGGTCTCTGGGCGGGACCCGGAAAGAAATGTGTACACGCCAGAAATCAAAGGAAATAAAAACAACAACAATAATAATAACAATAATAATAATAATGATGATGATAATAATAATGATAATAATAATAATTATGATAATGATAATAACAATGATGATGATGATAATAATAATAATTATGATGATGATAATAATAATAATAATGAAAATAATAATTATAATGATGATGATAATAATGATCATGATGATGATAATAATAATGAAAATAATAATAATAATTATGATGATGATAATAATGATGATAATAATAATACTTATGATTATGATGATAATGATAATAATGATGACGATAATAATAATAATAATAGTTATGATGATGATAATAGTAATGATGATGATGATGATGATAATAATAATGATAATAATTATGATGATGAAAATGTTGATGATGATGATGATGATAATAATGATGATAATAATAATAATAATAATAATAATGATGATGTTGATGATAATGATGTTGCCATTCTAAATGACACAAATATGGAAAACAAGGTCATTGAAAGAATTTCAAAATACTCGAATTTGAAAGTTGAGACGTCAAGATTTTTTTTTAAATGCATGAACGAAATGACAAGGTGATTCCAGTGGTGAACAGCTCACTGGGCCAAATCCCCTTAAAACGGTGTGACTTGACCAGCTGGAGATGCCATACTAACTTGGTGTCAACCAAAAACTCTGCTCTTTTGGGCCCTGTGCATATTTTGAGGGTCCTCCACTCTATGTAACCCTTGCATTTTAGTGACTGTACATCCTTGCTTGGACTTATACCGATTTAAAAAAATAAAAATAAATGACGCAAATATATAGCAAATAAGTTGAATGGAGAGTTAAACACTATACTGATTTGAAAGTTAAGATGGTAATATTTATGACCAAATGGTTGATAAAATACCAAGTCATTCAAACATCTGCAATGCTCTTATTTTGAGGCAAGTGGTGTCCCTCTGACGTCATTGCTGTGACTTGACTAATAACTGAATGTACCTGGTGTATTTAAAAACTTACAATATGTGGCAAAACCTAACAAATCCTTGGGACTACTATTCCTGAGTTGAAACATACACCCTTGTACAACTTAATTATACAGGAAGATGTAGTGAGCCATGATCATCTGAATCCTTGTACAAGTTAATTGAAACAAAATAATTCTGTTACTATTTACTTTTTTCGTATTTTTCCAATGAAACATGACCCAGTGCACATGTTAGTACATCGTATGTCCGTTCCACGAAGTTGTTCCTTGCAGATTGAAAACAGATTCTAGATTGGATTTAAATCAGGAGAGTTTCCGGGCCAGGCTATCTACCCCAGCCAGTTCATATCTATCTATCTATCTATCTATCTATCTATCTATCTATCTATCTTGGTCTGTTCATATCTATCTATCTATCTATCTTGGTCTGTTCATATCTATCTATCTATCTATCTATCTATCTATCTATCTATCTTAGTCTGTTCATATCTATCTATCTATCTTGGTCTGTTCATATCTATCTATCTATCTATCTATCTATCTATCTATCTATCTTGGTCTGTTCATATCTATCTATCTATCTATCTATCTATCTTCCAATAAAACATGACCCAGTGCACATGTTAGTACTTCGTATGTCCATTCCACGAAGTCGTTCCTTGGAGATTGACCACAGATTCTAGATTAGATTGAAATCAGGAGAGTTTCCTGGCCAGGCCATAGGACTGATTTGCTCACTGATAAGGCTTGCCAGGGTGTTCGTGCTGCGTTACAATTTTTGGAGTAACATCCATCGCAAACTGAAGTGTAAGCGTTCTCAAAGCAAATTTGTGGCTTTCACAACACAACGAAAGAAAATCACTTGTAACACGTCAGGAAAATAACTCACGAACGCCGTAGCCAAAACTGCCCGAATTTTTTCCTTCCCCGAGTCGACAACACCATCTGCTTTTATCGGCAGAACCCATTCGTCGACAGCCGGGATAGGATGCTCCGTAATTTGCATATTAATATCCTCTTATAGCGACTCCTGCGACGGACTTGTTTCTTTTTCGTCACAGAATACACGTGACGCGCTGTCGCTTGGATTGACGAGGTAAGTCGCTATAAGAGTTTTGCTGACTACTTTTTGGCAATCCCTCCCCGGCAGATCGCACACAAAACACGAACATTTTTCCGGGGTACTTGATTATCTCGTTCACTACACAAACCATGGCCGTAGGTCAACTAATCGACAGTCGCGACAATAATGTCTGGGTGTGATAAAAATCTGATGCAATCACGGATGAGGTAATATTTTTCAAAGCCAAACAAATTTCATCATACACTCCTAAATAGATTCATATTACTACACACCACTGCAAATGACCTAATCTGAGGAAAAAATAGAAATCGATTACAACCTGTCAAGTGGGTCTAAAACTGGCCGTGTGGTGAAAGAAATGAAAGTAAATCAGTTGTTTCGATTAAATTGCAGAAGGGTGTATCTGTCTATCACAATCTATTCATATCTATCTATCTATCTATCTATCTATCTATCTATCTATCTATCTATCTATCTCAGTCTACCCATATCTATCTATCTCAGTCTGTTCATATCTATCTATCTAGCTATCTATCTATCTACTTAAAATAGATTCATATTACTACACACCACTGTAAATGACCTAACCCGAGGAAAAAAAAATAGAAATCGATTCCACGCAGTCACTCCAGTGGGTCTAAAACTGACCATATGATCAAAGAAAGGAAACTAAAGCAGTTGTTTCAATTAATTTGCACAAAGGTGTATCACTCTCAATCTATTCATATCTATCTTTCTCAACCTGTTCATATCTATCTATCTATCTATCTATCTATCTATCTATCGAAAATAGATTCATATTACTACACGTCACTGCAAATGACCTAATCTGAGGAAAAAATAGAAATCGATTCCACCTTGTCACTCTAGTGGGTCTAAAACTGATCGCACGGTGAAAGAAAGGAAACTAAAGCGGTTGTTTAAATTAATTTGCACAAGAACTCTATCTATCTATCTATCTATCTATCTATCTATCTATCTATCTATCTATCTATCTATCTATGTCAACCTGTTCATATCTATCTATCTATATATCTATCTATCTATCTATCTATCTAAAATAGATTCATATTACTACACACCACTGCAAATGATCTAATCTGAGGAAAAAATAGAAATCGATTACACCCTGTCACTCCAGTGGGTCTAAAAATGACCGTATGGTGAAAGAAAGGAAACTAAAGCGGTTGTTTCAATTTAAACAAGAAATCTATCTATCTATCTATCTATCTATCTATCTATCTATCTATCTATCTATCTTTCTCAACCTCATCATATCTATCTATCTATCTATCTATCGAAAATAGATTCATATTACTACACGTCACTGTAAATGACCTAATCTTAGAAAAAAATATAAATCGATTACACCCTGTCACTCGAGTGGGTCTAAAACTGATCGTATGCTGAAAGAAAGGAAACTAAAGCGGTTGTTTAAATTAATTTGCACAAGGTTGTGTAATCATAATCATCATCGGTCCCACGACTGCTTCATTCGCTAGGGGTGCTGGATATGGATAGAAGAAACAGACAACCTCCTCCAGGACGTATCTGTTGGCAGTGGTTCTCAGGAGTTCTGGCATTGTCTTGTCCATCTACTTTGTGATATGTTCTACCCGGCTGTTGCGTTGCCGTCCTCACTTACACCCGCCATCAAGAGTGCCTTGCATGATAATCTTGCTGAGGCTGCTATACCGTGTGGCGAGGCTAAACAATGTCATCTTCTGACGCTTAATAGTGGCGAGGGGATATTCATGTTGGTATTCCTGACTTCTGTATCTAGTCACATAGGAGATATCAGAAGAGCATTTCTTCTGCAACACCTTGATCCTTATTCCTGTCTCAAGCAAGTGTGTCAAGTGAGTCAGTCGTTCACTTTTGAAACGGCTGCTCGGTTGAACTCTCTTCCTACGGACGGGAGGAACCCGAAGGAGGCACCGCCGAAGGGCGGAGTCTTCTTCGGGGAGGTAGACCGGCCCCGAACGCGTTTATACGGGTTCAATGGGCATATTTTTGGCCGAGCCCACGGGCTCGGAATGCCCACGTTAAAAAGGCATTGTGCCACATGACACCCTCGTGGGGTGGGGGTGACTCAATATCGATCCTCACTGGGTACCCCATACTTTCGGCCTTGTGCCACATCTAAGCTACGCTTGGAAAATCTTAGAGCAAGACCTCCGAGTCTAGCTGAGTCGTGATACAGTCTTTGACTGTAAGCGACGTCTGTCGAACTCTCTGCATTAGCAGAGAGGAACCCGGACGAAGCTTTGCCGAAGGGAAAGGTTTCGTCCGGGGAGGTAGACAGGGTCTGAACCCGTCTAGGCGGGTTCAAAGGCTATATTTTTGGCCGAGCCTACGGGCACGGAGATACCCACATTAAACCGACTTTGTGCCACATTCAATCCTCGTGGGTGGATCGATAAATACCGAGCAAGTGTGTCTAAGTGTCACATTCATAGAGGAGGATGGATAGAACCATCGATTTGTAAGGCTAGGACTTGGTCTGGAAGCTGGTGCTGCTCTTCTACATGCTTTCCAGTCTGTCCATCGCGGTTATACCTGTGACGATCTATGTGGAAATTTCTGCATGGCAGGTGCCATCTCTTGTGGCATTTTTATATTCAAATATAATACAACAGTAGTATAGACATATTTACTCAAGTAAATAATATAATATAATACCCACCTACTTAAATCTATCTTTATATCACCAAATCATGGTCTTGTTGTGTTGCAGCTAAAACCAGACCTTAGCTCCGTTTACGCAGCGCAGTTTCTTCCAGTGAAACCTTTGTGATTTAGAAAGTTTTCTTTGGTCAGATCGTTAACCACAAGTGAAAAAACAAGACAATTTCCAGCAGTAAATCAAATTTTATCCTTGAGTTATAACCTACTGCTACGAGTTAGCGAAGTAGAGATGAGGCGTATGCGATGCGGGAGGTACACAGTCTAGCGGCTGTCTTCCCTGACCGTTCCGCAAGGCTCGTTTTGTTCGAATCTGTGAGTCTTTTCGCAGGATGGTCAGTTTTATAGATAACAATTTTCTTTGTCGTGTCATCTTTGTCTGATAAAAAGAATTAATCTTCCTTCACTGACTTTTTCTCGGTCTGAACGTTTTGCTCTGTGCTTTGAAGTTGAATTCACTTACTGATAACCTTCGATCGAAAGTAAATATTCCGTGTCCAATTTTTGCGACAGATAAAGTTGTTTTCAGTTCACCAGGACCTCAACTGACTCATATTGCTACATTACTAAGATATGCAATCGTAGAATGGGAAGATATATTTGAGTAAATAAAAAACTATAATACAGACCTTCTTGTAACATGATCTATTAAATCTACCATCCATGTCATGCGTTCATGGCTCTCCACAATTTCCTTTCCTTGGTGGCTCCAATTAAATTTTGTCTTTTTGTTATCTCTTTTACTCCGTTCTACCATCTCTTTATTCAAGCTCGTTCTTCTATGTGCTGTGTCCCTTCAGAAATTTGGCGGTCATGGCTCTCCACAATTTCCTCTCCCTGGTGGCTCTTAGTAAATATTTGTCTTTATGTTTTATCTCCTAATTTCTGTTCTGCCATCCATCTTCACATGTTCGTTCTTCTTCCGCTATATGTTGTGCCCCTTCAGAAATTTAGCGATCATGGCTCTCCACAATTTCCTCTCCCTGGTGGCTCTTAGTAAATATTTGTCTTTATGTTTTATCTCCTAATTTCTGTTCTGCCATCCATCTTCACATGTTCGTTTCTTCTTCCGCTATATATTTGTACCCCTTCAAATTTAGCGATCATGGCTCTCACAATTTCCTCTCCCTGGTGGCTCTTAGTAAATATTTGTCTTTTGTTTTATCTCCCTAATTTCTGTTCTGCCATCCATCTTCATGCTCGTTCTTCTTCCGCTATATGTTGTGCCCCTTCAAATTTAGCGATCATGGCTCTCCACAATTTCCCTCTCCCTGGTGGCTCTTAGTAAATATTTGTCTTTATGTTTTATCTCCTAATTTCTGTTCTGCCATCCATCTTCACATGTTCGTTCTTCTTCCGCTTATATTTGTGCCCTTCAGAAATTTAGCGATCATGGCTCTCCACAATTTCCTCTCCCTGGTGGCTCTTAGTAAATATTTGTCTTTTATTTTTTATCTCTAATTTCTGTTCTGCCATCCATCTTCACATGCTCGTTCTTCTTCCGCTATATATTTGTGCCTTCAAATTTAGCGATCATGGCTCTCCACAATTTCCTCTCCCTGGTGGCTCTTAGTAAATATTTGTCTTTATGTTTTATCTCCTAATTTCTGTTCTGCCATCCATCTTCACATGCTCGTTCTTCTTCCGCTATATGTTGTGCCCCTTCAGAAATTTAGCGATCATGGCTCTCCACAATTTCCTCTCCCCTGGTGGCTCTTAGTAAAATATTTGTCTTTATGTTTTATCTCCTAATTTCTGTTCTGCCATCCATCTTCACATGCTCGTTCTTCTTCCGCTTCTATTTGTGCCCTTCAGAAATTTAGCGATCGTGGCTCTCCACAATTTCCTCTTCCTGGTGGCTCTTAGTAAATTTTGTCTTTATGTTATCTCTCCTAATCCCTGTTCTGCCATCCATCTACACAAGTTCGTTAGAGAGGTGATGCGCCACTTTTCTTTGTTCCTCTTGCGTTCAACGTCTTGTTAGTCTTAAATTTACCAAGCCTTTTTTTCTCATTATGTGACCTAGAAATTTCGACGGCCTCTTTCTAATATTAAATAAAAGTCTCCTTTTTATTTCTATTTTTTCTAAAACTTCGTCGTTGCTTATATCTTCGGTCCATTGTATTCTCAGCATCCTTCTGTAGAGCTCGATTTCTATCACCTCAAATTTTACTTTTTTTACCTCTGTGGAAATGGTCTAGCATTCACTGCGATTTAAGAAGCCTAACGCTACATAGAATTTCATTGATCTTTGTTTCTAACGAAATTTTCCTGTTTTTATTATGTTGCTTTCGGATTTAGATTTCGCGCTTCCGCTCTTTGTTAAAAAAATATCCCAGATAGTTGGATTGTTCTACAGTGAGTCCTTCGTATCCACGGGAGTTACGGACCAGAACCGGTCGCAAATAGTTAGAATCCGCGAATACTTGTAACCCCTCCACTTAAAAGTGCTTATAAGTACCTATTTTGATTGTTAAAACTCCCTATCTATAAACTCTCCACCCCCAAACACTTCAGAGACATTTCAAACCCTTTTAAAAAACATTTTTGAAAAATAGCATTGGTGACCATACACTTACCGTACAATAACCGTTTTTAATTATGCATAGATTGATACAACCATTGAAAATACTGTATAAAATATGTGTAACAAGACATAAAATATAAAGTTTAAAACATTTTCTAAAAACAGAACTGTGATGATGCCCCCAGACTTAGCATAAGCCACTTTTAAGACCCCAGTCACAGCTCCTAACAAAGAACAAAGCCCAAGCACTACGCATGTTTTTGCGTATGTTTTTTTACAATGAAGATGTACAATTCTACCACTCTTTACCATAAAAATGGACTGTTATGTTTTAAGTCACTTAAATGACAGGAAAATAATACAAGAATATTTTAAATAAGTTCTATCGAAAAAATAAGCAAATCCTGGGAATTCTCAGTGAATAATTTGTACATATGTTCTTCAGAAAAACACGCGAATAATCGTGGTTTCAGTGAATAAAAAGTCCATATGTTCTAAAGAAAAATACGCGAATGTGTGAAGCCGCGAATGCTTAAACGCGAATAGGCGGGGTCTCACTATACTTGTTTGATTTTAATGTATCTAATTTAGTATACAACCTAATACTCTCATGGAATTGATTGAATTATTTATTTTATGGTTTATCAACCCTTTTGTATGTTATTTAAAGAGGGAACATATTTTGGATTGTCAGAATAATTCTTATCTGCGATTAAATATTTGGTTAACGAATTTTCGAGAATAACATTGATTTTTTTGTCACATACAAGTTCTATTTCCCCGCCATCTTACTTGGCGGAGGAGATGGATCCAAATCTTTCCCAGTGGTATAGGCGCGCATGTTATGTAACGAATCCGACTGGAATTCGAACTCGGCTCTCCGATTTTAAATTCCGACCTGCTATCTAATAAAATGCGAAAGAACCATAGCGTCAATCTTTACCCATAGACACGACACTCACCGTAGCACTTTTAGGAGTAACCCTCTACCTCGAACGCCTATCGAGCCTTAATTCTTTTCGGTCCGACTGTTCATTGTCTACACCAGGGGTCGGCAACTTATTCGACCCCGCGGGTCGGATCGTGTTATAATGACGGGTCCCGGGCCGGACGAAGGCCATTAACTAAAAATTAAGGAAAATTACATACGCAGACCCCTGTCAACTAAATATTTAAAACCATAATGAAAATAAACATTGAGAAATCAGAAAAACAAAAGAAAATCTAAAATTAAAAAAAAAAACACCTAACAAAAATTACTTTTCCTCAAGGAACGACAAAATACTTCAAAGTGAAAAAAATTAACCGAAGTGAAATGGATGAAATTATGACGTGTAGGTTTGAAACTGTTATTGAAAATTGTTCCACAAACATGTATGTATAATGCGCGTATGTTTAACTGTCTTTAGATTTCTGCTACCTCGTATGTCAGTCCCTCCCTGGCCTCTTTCACTTTATCGTTCCTTTCGCTTCTGTTGTCTTTTAATGTGGCCAAGGGTCATAACAAATATGTATCCATTATTTGACATGATACGTAGGCAACGCAACTGGGTAAAATAAGTCTCATGAAAGATAACTGGCAGATAGTCTAATATTTTTAGTGCACTGAGATGTGTGTAGACATTCTATGGAATGTAATGACATATAACAAATTTCATTTAAATATCGTCTCTCATGTTAAAAATAGAGTCATTGGTAATCAGGCTCGCGGGCCGGTCAAAATGCCTTCGCGGACAAATCCGGCCCGCGGGTCGTAGGTTGCCGACCCTTTTGTACACGCTAGTATAACAGTAGAATAGCCATATTTACTCGACTAAATGACGCACTTCATCTCGCAGAACGCATCAGTATATGGGCAGATTTATAGGAGTCGGTATTACCATATAACAGACGCTTATTTCAAACAGTCCTAATGGCTGCAAGTCAGGAGTTTTCTGCAATTCGACCCTTTGCGGGCTGCAAGTTAATATAACACTAGAATAGCGTGATTTACTCAACTAAACGATACAATACAATAAACAATTACATCAATCTATCTTGATGGCACCAAATCATGAACCTTCTTGATTTCCGCATTTTATGGGTTACAATCTAAAATATCAATAAAATAGCCCGATTTATTCGAATAAATTCACTTAAACCCCAAACCAACGCTACAGAGCTAAATTGGGAACTGTCTGGAAAGTCCGTCTGTTCTGAAACACAATATTTTACCTATAAATAATTTCTTCAATCATGATAAACTTCCACCCCATATACGTAGACAACAAATTATTGCCTTATTTTTTTTTCTCTGGGAATAATTCTCGAAAACGAACTCTATGCGATGCCTCAACTGACAAGAACAGCGATTATTTCAATCTCTCAGAATCAGGAACTATTAATGAACAAATATCGAGAGAATGCAGACGATTCCTGCATGAATTATTCACGCGACTTTAGTCGCAGCACAGAGTTGGACGTACATTTGGGGCCCGTTGGAGAGAATGATGCAAGGTGATTCGTTCAGTGACTTTATTTATTGTATTAGAGACAATATATTATATGAGGAAGTTGAGGCAAGAGTTTACTGAAGTTTTTAATAAAATCTTTTATTCATAGCAATATTATTCAACCATTAAATTAAATTTATATGCATCTCATAATGTTCGTATCATTCTAAATATCCAAGCTACTCCAATCAGAAACTGTCCAAACCTATCTATCTATCTATCTATCTATCTATCTATCTATCTATCTATCTATCTATCTATCTCACTCTGTTCCCATCTATCTATCTATCTATCTATCTATCTATCTATCTATCTATCTAGTTATCACAACCAGTTCTTATCTCCCTCACTCTCCCCATGTATATATATATATATATATATATATATAATATTTATATTAAAAATATATATAGGTAAATTTATGAATACACATTTTTCTTCACTGGTGGAACCTGTATCCAGTTTGCATGAAAACCCTTGTGATATATGTATTTCTTATTAATATAAATTATTGCGCTGTTATTAATCATCGAGAATTTTTTTTGTTAGCCCCAGCATTTGATGTGCGTTATATATATATATATATATATATATATATATATATATATATATATATATATATATATATATATGTGTGTGTATGTGTTTGTGTGCGTGAGAGATATAGTTTTGTGTGTGTGTGTGTGTGTGTGTGTGTGTGGAGTAAAATTATGTGAATAAACGAAGAAATAAAATAATCTTCAAAAGCAACTCTACAATTGTAAATGATTTTTATTATTGATTGTCAAAGCAATTTTTGTTTACGTACATTTTGAAAGAAACTAATATACGAGTTCAAATTCCTCGTAAACAAAGTTCAACGAAAATATTTTTCTTTTATTAAAAAAACAACAGAAATGAATTACGTTAGCATGAGTGAAAAGCCGTACGCTTCTACCTAAATCGAGAGTCACGTATATGCATTGTCATATGTATGCGTGCAATTTTCCACCAGTCATCGATGAGGCCTATTATTACTACTGTTAATATTTGTTTGTTTATATATTTTCGTTAATTTTTGTGTTGTATAATATACATTAAAAAGGGGTACAATATTATTTAAACTTAATAATTGTACGAAAGGTTGAGTAATGCATTATATTAAAGGTGTGAGTAAGCAATATGGCACAAATTTCCTGGTCTGGTCAATGGTTTACCGAAAACTATTTTTTGCTAAATTATGCTATGTATTTATAAGAAAAAAAATATGATATAGGAAGCTAAAAGTTAAATTTATTAACCTCAGAAGTGTAAATTTCACATTTTTTTTATTATCTATTTGTAGGAGGGGAAATATTGTCCATGATTTTCTAGAGCGAACTTTTACTTGTAGCAAACAACAAATATATGGTCGACAGATTTTCCAAAGCTTGAATGGTGTTTGAAATAAAGTCGCTGATTGGCTAATAAATATTAATATGGAAATTTTAATGTGGAGCCTATGTTTTGCACAAAAATGAGTCGATGACTTCGCACAGAACTGAGATTTTTAGTCACATTAATTAAATCTATTTATATTTTTATACAATTTTAAAAATGCTTCAACACATACGCTTGTACACACAGAAAGATATACGTAGACACACATACACGCACACACACACACACACATACACATATATATATAATTTTTTCTAAAATTATAACATAAATATATTATAAAATCACTACAAAAATAGCCACTTTGTTCCAACACTTCTGATGTCTTATCATGGTGATGAATATATATATATATATATATATATATATATATATATATATATGTATGTAGGTAGGTATGTATGTATGTATATGCGTGTGGTGTGTGTGGATTAAAAGTGTTTGAAAAAACGAAGAAAGGAAATAATCTTCAAAAACATCTCTACAATTTTAAATGATTTTTTATTATTGATTATTAAAGCAATCTTTGTTTACGTACATTTGAAAGTAACGAATATACGAGTTACAAATTCCGCGTAAACAAAGTTTAACGAAAATAGTTTTCTTTTATTGCATAACAACACAAATGAATCACCTATGTACTTTTTATATATATATATATATATATATATATATATATATATATATATATATTTGGTTGGACTGATGAGTTTAATGACCCTGGCTTTCACGCTCTTGCGATCGTTAGACAAAAGTTAGCACTATCTCTGATATTGATCGCTTTCTAATAAGTGCCGCTCGACATAACTTATAAAGAATAATATATATATTATATATATATATATATATATATATATATATATATATATATAGATAGATAGATAGATAATAGATAGATAGATAATATTAGTGGAAAATATACATATATATGCAAAATATATATATAAATACCCATACATGTATATTTTCAGAAAAAAAATTCAAGAGGAAGAATCCAGGTAGAACTCAATGTCTAGGACAGGTAAGGATATAATAAAAAGGCTTAAACCCTAATATTCCATGGTCATAATTTATTCCATTGGAATCGTAAATACGATCAATTCATCAGACCTACAAATTCAAAAAAGAAAACAGAAAAAACCCAACTCCGGAAATAAAAACAGAATTTAGAGAGAGTGTAAGTATGAGGAGGAGGGGGATTAAACCTTAACAGAGAGAATTTCAGGAGAGGTGGGTGGAAGGGGTTTAATTAAGAGACAAAAATGAATGTTGACGGATGTCTAATGCATAAAGATACATTTCGTGGTGACATACACGCACCATAGACAATTTAATGTTAGAATAAGAGGGAAGGAAAGACGAGGTGGGGGAGAGAGATGGGACGAAAGGAAAGTAAATTCCGCTTGTGGTGAAAATTTGACAAATTTAATATCAACTACAGGTTACAAATCAAATATAAATATATGAAGATAAATATAACGATTATCTAATCCAGCAAGGACCTATATTTCTATGTTCAAAAACACATGCGAATAATAACAATAACATACAGGCATATACATACACATAGGCGTGTACCCACATACACACATACATAAACCCATGTACACACATATATAAAAATATAAAAATATATTCACATATCCACACATACACATATTCATCTATATCCATATACACACACTTTTCACATACATATACATGCATACACATGCACACATGCACATACCCATATATATATATATATATATATACACACACATACACATACATATGCATGTATAGGTGTGTGCACACATACACATCCATACACACATACACATATACATATATATATATATATATATATACATACATATACACATACACATACACACACATACATATATACACACACCCTTACATATACACACATACACACACATATACATATATACACACACATACATGCAAACACAAACATATATATATATATATATATATATATATATATATATATATATATATATATAAATCAAAAATATAAAAATATACAAAAAATACATACACACATACATGCATGTATACACACATACATCCATCACATCAGTCTTTCATATATATACACACACTTACCCACATATATACATACGGATATACGCATACGTGCACATAAACATATATACCTAAAACCTTACATTTCTATATAATTATTTAAACAATTCATATATATATATATATATATATATATATATAAACGATATAATATATATATATATATATATATATATATATATATATATATATATATATATATATATATATATATATATATATATAAATGTAAACTATAAAATATATATAATTATAGAACATATATATATATATATATATATATATATATATATATATATATATATATATTACAGGGGGTGAAAGTAAAGTAAAGAGGGATGTTTGAGGAATGGATATAGAGAAGGAGGTGTCTTACCGCTATTACATATATATATATATATATATATATATATATATATTTTGTAATCTAGGGAAGGTTACTGAGTAGAATAATCACACGGTTTATAAAGAAAGATGATACTTAGGACACCAACCACACAGATAAAATTCGACAGCGTCGCGTGGAAGAAGTGGTCAAGTGAATTCCACAATGATTCTCCAACTACACTGAAGACCAACATACAGTTTTACTACTATATTTATGTGAATGGGGACATACCCATTATCGTCCGTAAGTATGTTACAACACACACACACACACACACACACACACACACACACACATATATATATATATATATATATATATTTGTGTATTTAGGCAGCAATCATTTTTTCATGCACATTTCATTGAATAAGACAGACAAGGTGCATTTATTTAATTTTTTCTACAATTTTTCATGCGATGTAATAATATTTTTCGGATGATAAATTAAATACAAAACTGTCGCAATATTCTTTTTATCCAAGCGCTTTCGACTATACATTTAGCCATTTTCAAGGATTAAATATTTTAACATTTATATAAGAAATAGTTTGTTGTATGTATGTTTTATAAAATGTTTTCATTTTTCAAAACACGGTCAAGATATTGTGTCCATGTTCAAACTTAATATTATTAAGTGTTGGTATGTTTGTTTTTATTAGTAAGGCTTCCATTATTTTTAGCCATTTTTTGCATATAGATGATGGTATTATATTAGTGTTGTTAACGATTATATTACGAATAGTGTCCGGTAGGTCTCCATGAATATTTAAATGAGATCTAATTGAACTATGGTCAGAAAGGTGTAGAGCGAGTCTGCGTGTCAAAATGTTGTGGTGTGGACTATATGATGATTTAGGAATTTTGATTGATCAGGAATACAATTCCTTGTAGTCATTTAAATTCATAAATAATATTTGCCCAATTTAATTTTGCTCTAGGAGGTGAATTATTATTTTTAACTATAAGGTTAGAGGTTTTAAATTTTTTAAGAAATAATTAATCTAATTTTTTTGCTATTGTCAGCTGTTGTTATGCACTATATATATATATATATATATATATATATATATATATATATATATATATATTCAAGATGTATTAAACACTCATATTTTTGTAACAGGATATTTCTAACAAGATTTCTCGAAATATTCAGGCCGATAGATTTAAATAAATAAATAAATACACCGTTTAATAAATAAATAAAAACAAAACATCTACTCAAGTATGAGCATCCATTTAAAAAAAAATTTTAAACAAATGAATTATTTTTTTTCTTTTGATTTGTGAGTCCTGGGTACGACGATAAACTACATCTGGCAGCAAGGCTTCTGATCGGGAGGTTTTGAGAAGCGTGGAGTCACTTCTTGATTGCTATTATTCCAAGATCCATCCTGACACGGTGGGGTTGCATCTGTTATGATCGCAGCTATGGGCAAATAGTTAACCCCACCAAACTGGAGTCAACACTACGAAAGTATTAATATATCTGTTGAGATGTTGTGAGTTTCCCGCGTGTCAGTGTATGAATCAAGACAAACACAGATGTAGAGGAAAATACTGGTATATTCATAAAAGCAATTAACAATAGAGTGATTAGTAGAACGAAGGTTGGTTAGTACGAAACAATATCCAAAGTCTATAGTCCAACGGTATGTAAACGGGTAAGCTTATCTGGACTGCTAACGCTGACTCTCTCTCTGACGCTCTGTCACTCTCTCTCCAGAGCTGACTTATATAAGAGGGACCAGTCCATTAGTAGTTAGAAGGTGGGTGCGCCCCAACACTATCTTTATCGTAAAAATACCACTAATACATTTTTGAAGAACAATCTTAACAGCAATACATTTAACCCCCCACCCCCCCCCACAAAAAACCTCTTTACAAAAAACCTTTAATAAACCCTGATCTACAAACAGGTTTCTTACAAATACTTATTCATAAGAACATAATCCGGAAAAAAACTTGCCGGCATTAAATAACCCATTTAGGTGTTGATATGCCTAAAACAAAATAAACCGAAAACGGCGAGGTTGAGGTTGATATATCGTAAAA